AAATTTTTTGAAAAAAAAAAAAAAAAAAAAAAAAAAAAAAAAAAAAAAAAAAAAAAAAAAAAAAAAAAAAAAACATGAAATGATAGAGAATCTTTTCCCAATGGTAATGACACCAAAAGTATGAAATTTGATTGGAAACTTATGGAATTATGCTCCCGTGAAGTTAGCGATCTCAGCAATATATACACATGGGCAATTTCACAGACTGAGCCCTACTTTCAGCCAATTCAGTTGTTCCAGTCGACCAAACTCATAGCTATTTCTTTAGAACTCCATTTTTTCTATCAATTGAATACAAGAAACTGCCCATTTACTGATTTCAACTACCCAATAAAGTGGTCAAATTGGCAATTTGACCAATTTCACCCAAATTAAAAAAAGATGCCGATTTCAAAATAGGGTCCAGAATAAACAATGCAGACATTCTTGGCACTAAAATAACATATCCTCTATTTATTAGTCATGTCTCCAGGCCCCTCTTATATTACTCTTGCTTTCTATTTTGACTTTATATTCACACAAATTAGAAGATTTACTGTTATGCACACTACTGCATTATTGTAAAAATGGTATAAATAATACAGTGCACTACTGAAAGAATATTAGACTTCCCAGTTGACGTGTATTGGATGTGTGATGTGATTTGCTTACTCTTGAACATTGGTAAAAATCAAACATTTCTGCTACTTTGAACTCAATTTCAAGGTCGTTTTCATCACGAAACTAATCAAAACCATCTCTATTTCTGTAATATGCTTTCCATTCTATCAAATGAGACCAAGAAAACGAGAATACAACCATAAATACTATAGGAAAATACACTTCAAAGTCAGCATTTTAATCCAAAAACACGATTGGAGTTTTTTTTCTCATTATGCACTGCGTGCTGCAGGATTTTTTTTTATACAGTGCACACAGACCCATTTACTAACATGTGGGCCTACCAGCTTTCTCCTGCTCGATTTGAAGCCGCTAGAATTATTGAGTATACATATATACATCTGAAACACTGGCTCCTAAGACGTATACAGTGGACCCCCGGTTAACGAACTTTTTTCATTCCAGTAGTATGTTCAGGTGCCAGTACTGACCGAATTTTTTCCCATAAGGAATATTGTGAAGTAGATTAGTCCATTTCAGACCCCCAAACATACACGTACAAACGCACTTACATAAATACACTTACATAATTGGTCGCATTTGGAGGTGATCGTTAAGCGGGGGTCCACTGTATATACAGCCGAAGTAGTCAAAGGGTTAAGAGACAATGTGCTGCCCACCAATGCATGAATGTTGTAATTTAAGATTTATACAGCAGTTTAGGTCTAGTGACATTTGGTCAGACTATGGTGTATATTATGTTGATGACTCAAATTTGTTTTTTATTTTTTCATATTGGCTGTTTCCCTTCAAGTTAAGGTGGTCCAAAGATGGAAGCCCATTCACCATCATTCATTAAACATCTGTTTTGTCAAAACGTAATATCCCCCATCCCTCTTTCACACTGCAGGCACTGCCCTTACCACCTCTAGGACAAGTCTAGCCACTTGGCTTTCCCTGGGTATCTAGTTTGCCCACTCCAGCAGCCAGGCCCCCATCTCTTGGATGAAGAGCAGTTGGACAGTACCAAGGCTACCTACCATTCCCAAGGATGGTAATCTTTGAAGATTTTTTTATTTTACCTGGACCTTGAAGATCTTGACGTTGGCAGCCAGGAGGTCTTTGCGCTCCATACCTTCCTTGCGGGGCATTGAACCAACCAAGAATGCACTCTCAATGTCCTTGAAAGCAACAGCTGGATCATCAGTGGCAATTACATCTGTCAAAAGTAAACTATAGCTAGTAACATACAGCAGGACCCAAAAGTACAAAGTAATAACATCACTAATTTGTTAACTTTCTAACTAGTAGTGGTGCATGCTGAAAATGTTTCACAGGTAAGGTGATTTGAGCATTTAGAGGGGTTGGAGCAAGTTAGGAAGAAGGGGTAAAGGGCATCCCAGGATAGGTTGGGGGTGGTCAAGGAGGTTTTGAGTGCTTGAAGCTTGAACACCCAGAAAGCTTGTTAATGTGTGTTAGATCAGAAGAACTAAAGAGAAGTGGTTTTTATGACCATGTGCTCTTTTAGCGCCTGCACTCTGAAGGATAGGCAAGGATGTTATAGATCAGAGGGTCATTTGAACTGTGTTGTTAGCATGTAACAAGAAAGCTACTGAATTAACCCTTTGAGGGTTTCGGCCGTACTAGTAAGGCTTATGACCCAGGGTTTTTAACGTACTAGTACGCCTAAATTCTAGCGCCCTCAAATCTAGTGGGAGAAAGCTGGTAGGCATACATATGAAAGAATGGGTCTATGTGGTCAGTGTGCGCAGTATAAAAAAAAATCCTGCAGCACACAGTGCATAATGAGAAAAAAAAATCTTTGACCATGTTTTTGGAATAAAACAGCGAATTTGCACTGTATTTTCGTATGGTATTTATTGTTGTATTCTAGTTTTCTTGGTCTCATTTTATAGAATGGAAGACATATTACAGAAATTGAGATGATTTTGACTGGTTTTACAATGAAAAGTACCTTGAAATTGAGCTCAAAGTAGCAGAAATGTTCAATTTTTACCAAAATTCAAAAGTAAACAAATCATGCCAAGCGTCCAATATATGTCAACTGGTGAGTCTAATATTCTTTCACAAGTGCGCTGATAATATTTATACTATTTCTACACTAATGCAGCAGTCTGCATAACAGTCAATCCTCTATTTTTTGTAAGAATAAAAATTGAAAGTGGAAAGCGAAAGAAATATAAGAGGGGCCTCGGGATGTGACTAACGAACAAGGAAATGTTATTTTAGTGCCAGGAATGTCTTTCTTGTTTATTCTGGACCCTATTTGGAAATTGGCATCTTTTGAAATTTGTGTGAAACTGGCAAAATTGCTAATTCTGACCACTGTATTGGATAGTTGAAATCAGTAATGGGTCGTTTCTTGTACTCCATTCAATAGAAAAAATGGATTTCTAGAGAAATAGTTATGATTTTTGTCAACTAGTACACTGGAATTGGCCAAAAATAGGGCTCAAAGTGGCAAAATCGCCGATGCGTAAACATCGTCGAGACCGCTAACTTCAAGAGAGCATAATTCTGTAAGTTTTTCCATTAAATTTCATAGTTTTGGTGTCATTATGATAGGGAAGAGATTCTCTATCTTTTCGTAAGAAAAAATAATTTTTTTTTTTTTAAATTTGGCCGACCCTGAGAACACGTCTCGGAGAGGGCCTGTCGACCCTCAAAGGGTTAATGATAGCAAATATGTTTCCTCCTCCTGGGCCAACCTACCTTGAGGAGAGACAGTTGTGTAAAAAAAAGGAGGGGAGGGGGGAGTCAATACAATGCCACAAAAACTATAGATAATCAAGTCTGATCCAAAGGAAGGTCAGCTTCATTTCCTTGGACCAAGAGCCCTTCACCAGCAACAAGGCATTATAGTCACAGGTAAGAGAAATGGTAGTTACTTTACAATATTTAAAGAGCAATTTCTTGAGCAAGGTCACCCAATCACTACAAGCATCATCCATCATGTGTCACCATAAAGGTCATCCACTGCATATCACCATAAAGGTGGTCATCCATTACATGTTAACATAAAGGTCATCCATCAACACTAATGATATACACACAGCAACATGTGGTAGTCACCACATACCCATCATGTGAGTGGTAGTCAGCACATACCCATCATGTGGGTGGTAGGCAAATGATTGCAAGGTACCTAATATTTCCAAGGACTGAGATCTGCTTGCTGTACATTCCTAGACTACAAAAACCAAAAATAAAATCCCAGACACCCCCCTTTTGACAAGGGTAAAACACAGTCACAACTAAACACCCCTTTTACACATGGAAGGCACAGTCACTAAACCCCCTACAAAAAACCAGTTGAGACAGCATCTTTGGTTTTGATGTCGAGCGGGGTTTAGGATACAGGTGATTTTGGAAAAAAACACAGCCCCGACCCAACCATGTAGACCAAAAGTAGCCAATCGGGGCCAGCGGCCCCAAGAGGGCACAAAACAATTTGTTCAGCCTGCCAAGATTGTGTAATTTAACACACACCGATATAAAACTGAAAATTAAATAAAAACAAGACAGAAATTGCAGATAAAATTCTGTAACATTAGGTAGAAAAGGTTGGTAGACAGCAACCACCCGGGAAAAAGCCCCCGCCCCCTCCCCCAATGATTTGTGAAACAAAAACCTGTAATTTTTTTTCATAAATTTTAGGTTTGCGGGTTTTTTTTTTTCTGTCTCTTAAAAAACCTAAGATAACGGGGATATCTTGCTACTCCTACTAACACTTTGGTCACCCCTTCAAAAGACACGCAAAAGCATATATAAATAACATACATCAAGGTTTTTCCCCTTTTTTTCTAAATAGTTTCCTTTTCCCTTTTTTTTTTTCTTCTATTGTCCAGGGGGGAAGGGGAAAAGAATTTTTTCCCCCCGTAAGCCATGCGTGTCGAAAGGGAGGGACTAAAATCCCGGGGAGAAAAGGGGCCCTAGAAACCCCCTTCCCCTGTATAAAATTTTACTAAAAAGAGAAGAAGAAAAATTTTATAAAACTGGGTTCCTTTAAATGTGCGTGGATGTAGTGGGGGAAATGACAAGAAACAAGATGTTTGTTTATGTTAGAATGAAAAGAAGTTGGATGTCCGGGCCCAAAGCGAAACAAAGCTAAAGGGGGGTGGGAGATTTTCCCAGGGGGGGGGAAAAAAAAGGGATTAAATCGGGAGTATCTGAGAGATTAGAAAAAGGGAAGGGGTAGCAGAAATTTTAAATGATAAATTTTATGGAAGGAGAAAAAAAAAATGAATGTGAAAAATTAAAGAAAAAAGGGGGATTAAAGAAAAGGGTTGGATGCAGAAGTGGTCATAATAACGTGTATGCCCCTTTGGAAAGAGAGGAATGCAGAGGAGAGAGGAGTTTTTGGGGAGAGGGTTAAAAGTAAAAGTAAAGGACCTTTGAACCAAGTGAGGGGAGAAATTTGTGGTGGGGGAATTGAAAGCAAAAGTGGGAAAAACTTTTGAGAGGGGGGTGGGGGAATTTTTGGGGTGCCGGGTGTAAATATAATGGGACCCTTTGTTTGAACTTTGTATAGAAAGGGGGTTTTATTTAAAGGTAATAAAAATATTTTAAAAAAAAGAGGATAAATAAGTATCCACGTAAATGTAGGGCAAATGACGGGAAATTTTGGGGGGGAAATTTTGTATTGGTAGATAAAAGACTTTTTGAGAAACCCCTTCAGGAGTACATTTTTTTAATAGAGGGGCCACAGATAACAGATCACTTTCTATTTTAAAAGCTAAAACTGAGAGTAAAAGTAGAGGGGGATACAAGGAAATAGAAGCATCGGGGAAGAGAGGGGTGAAGGTTAAAAACTAAAAGGGGAGGCATTTAGGGAAAGATAAAAACAGCTTTGGGGGATAGAGGGGGCAAATGAACAAAAGGCAATGGGGTCAAGAGGTATGGGGAAAAGGTTTTAAAAAATTTTAAAGGGGTTAGAGTGTTCAGCGAAGTTGGGGGTTACGGGAAAGGGGGGTGCAGGGGGGAAAAGAGGAGCGTTTGGGGGAATGATAAAGTAAAAAGAGTAAAAGGGAGAAAAAGTTACATATGAAAATTTTTACAAATAGAAGTGATGCAAGGGGGGAAAGGGATAAAGGGAGAAAAAGAGAGAGGTTAAGAGAGGGTGAAGCAATGTAAAAGAGAGCAAATGAGAGAGGGGGTTTGGGATTTTTAAATCAACAAATTTTGTTAAAATAAGAAAAATTTTTTTGGGGGTGAGTTTTAACAAGTTAAAAAAGCCTAGGGGAAAAAAGGATTTGTCATTTTAAAAATAGGAGAGGAATTTTATTAAATGGAAGTTAGAGGTTTTGGGAAAAAAGGAAAAGGAATATTTTAAAGGAATTGTTAAATTTTTGATGAAGATGGGGAAAAGCTGGGGGGTTTTTCTTTGTATAGGGCAAGGAGGAATAAAAACTTTAGGAGTGAGGAAGAGCCATTTTGGGTTGAGTGGGGGGGAAGTTCGTGGGGAAAGAAAGGAAAAAAATGAAAGGGGGAAGGCACCCGGTTTGAAAAAAATAAAGATAAAAATTGTTAAAAGCGGGTGGGGATATATTTTTTTGGAGGGTTGGGGGAAATTTGTTTAATAAAATGTAGGAAGAGGGTAAGGTACCTAGGGAATTGGCAGAGAGAAAGCATTTTTTCCTTTTTTAAAAAGGGAAAAGGGGGGAAAAAAGGAGTCCCAAAAATTATAGGGGGAAATTCTTTTTGAGGGGTACCTGGTAAAGTGTATGGAAGATTTTTATAATTGAAAGAATTAAGATAAAAAGGGAAAATAGGATAGCAGATAAAAGGAGGTTTTTTGGGAAAAAGGTAGGGGGTTGTGGACCGGGTGTTTACGGGAAACATATAAGTGAACAGTATTTAAAAAAGGGAAAGAGGTTTTTTGGGGAAAAAAAAATTATGGTTTTGGGAAAAGGCGAAAGACGGGGTGGATGGGGGGGGCAATGGGGCAATTTTTTGAAAAGGTGTTTTGGTGTAGGAGGTAGGTTACTGAAAGCAGTGAAGATTTTTTTTAACAGGTAGTGAGGCTCAATTTAAAGGAAATGAAAGGAAAAGGGAAATTTTTTTCCCAAAAAAGTGGGCCCTTTTAGACAAGGAGTGTGTTTGTCCCCCTGGGTTTTTTTTTTAAAAAATTTTTATAGGGGGGGTTGTAAAGAAGTAAATGCAGGGTCTTGGGCCAAAAAGGCGTGGAGTTAAAAGATAAAGAATCACACACAAAGGGGATTTAACACCCTGTTTCTTTGCTGATGACATGTGTTTTGGGGGAA